AGCCTCATGTTTCTCATCAGTAGAATGGAAATCCAATAGAGCCTCTTTTAAGGAGCTGTAAAAATGAAATGCTATAAAGTAAATCAAGTGTGTAGTGGAGTGCTTGCCACGTAGAAACATGTTATCCAGCTATTATTACTATTGAGCAAAAGACAGAAGGGTGGTGCCAGAGGTTGCTGCTCCAAGCCCATTAGCCAAGGTTGTTATTGATGTGTTTATTGGATGCTTATATGTGCATGTGTGTTCTGACATTGGTGTTTTGTTCTTGTTCAGTACGTGAGTGGTGCTTTATAGCCAACACTAGCACGATACCTTGGGTTGGTCTTCTGTCACATGGTCTGAAAAGAAATGTGTAAAAAAAGCTGTACGCTGTTGCAGGCTTTCAGTTTGGGAAGCATACTTTACCTCAAGACAACAATCTTAAATCGCATTATAATTAAATTATTTTTTAATGCCATCCAATAAAAGAATAACTAAATAATCTACATCATGTTAGTGCTGGGACATTACCTATTTAAAATAGCAAGGATGTGGAATTATACATATATATAGAATAATGTTAGTTGACCAGAAACAACCCAAATATCAGTTGATTACCTTTTTGTTAATATGACTGTGTATATTAACAAAGATTGAGGAAAATGTAGAGGGAAATGTTCTTTTTCTCTAAAATTGCTTAAGTCCATAAAAATATTTTAACAGAGAGTGAGGAATATAATGTTCTAAAAACTCTTTTGAGCAAAGCATGTGGAATTAGAATAATTTAGAGATCTGCCTAAGGCAGGCCCTTGACCAAAATATAGCAGGAAATTATTATTCCCGAAGTGGGTGTGTCAGAATGACTGTCATATAAATCGGGAAAGCTTTACCCAGAGAAATTCCACCTGCACAGCAATACCTTTTTATAAGAAATAAAGAGGGGCCAGGGACTTAGCTCAGCGGCATCACGCCTGCCTTGGAAGCACAAGGTCCTGAGTTTGATCCCCAGTACCAAAAAAAGAAAAAGAAATAAAGACCCTGCTTGCTCCCATTTCTGGCCTGCCCACTTCTACCAAAACATAGAACTATATTAGTCATCTACGGGTCAGTGTTCAGACTGGAGATCCACAGACTGAGTGGGAACCAGGTTGTCTCTTAGTTACATTCTTGTTGCTGAGACAAAATACTCAACACTGACAAGTTAAGGGAGGAAAGGTTTATTTTAGCTCACAGTTTGTAGAGGTTTCAGTCCATATTCAGGTGGCATGACAGAGGGGCATAGCAGAGACGAAACAGTTCATGGCAGAGCAGGCAGGAGCCAATGAAGCAGCAAGTGGCAGCAGCAAGCCTACATTCCCTCTCTCCCTTTATATTCCAGCCAGGCTATATAAGTCTATTGATTGGTGCCATCTACACCCAAGGAGGGGCTTCCATTATCCACACCCAGAACTATGCTAAATCCATTTAGTTATCACAGACCCTTAATCCCAGCGTCACACACCCTAAATCTAGCCGCCTCTGAAAAATCCCACCTATGAGCACATGAGGCTTTGGGGGACCTCTAGATGCAAACCATGCAGTGGTCTTCCTGTAAAGTCTACTTGCTCTGTCCTGGCTGGACCATTTGCAAAAGTTGAGCTACCACCTGAGTGAAGCCTTGACTGCTCTGAACCTATAGGTTCCACCACTTTAAATACTAATAGAGCCAGGTATGGTGGGACACACCTGTAACCCCAGCACTCTGGGGTGTTGATCAAGCCCATCCTGGGCAACTTAGCAACTTAGCAAAACCCTGTATCAAAATTAAAAGGGGGGAGGGGGTGGAGATGTAGCTCAGTGCAAAGGCCCAGAGTTCAATTCCCAGTATTAAAACAAACCAACCTGCACCAGCAGGGGGCAAGCTTGTTCCCACAGCTTAAGGGACAGAAATGACGGCCTCTTGGTGGGACACCTTAACATAGATAAATTCAGTCAGAACAAGGAACAGATTCACAGGAAATACTGCGTCTGCCTATCTGTTGCAATACAAAAGCATACATTAAACAAACAAAATTCACATTAAGGGCAAAAGGTTATCTTTGGGTTTCAGCAAGTCATTTAACAAGGATTTATGGTGGTAAAACATAAAACCAAGAAGAAAGGTTTTCCAGTGATTTAATTTTTTCTCTGAGTTTCACAGGGAACATGTCAGCCCTGACCACGAACGAGGATTCTCTGGAAGGTGGTTTTAGAATCACTGGTCAAATCCACTCATTTTGTCATTAACAGCACCTTTCTTGTGATATTTCACCCTCAGTTTAGCAAACTGAAGTTTGTCCTTGTTATTCAGGCTACTGAGTGATCTTTCTGTAGCCCCCACCCCTATCCTTTGGGAGAATGAAGACTACAGAAAAATTTGAAACAGTAGTCAGTCATAAAAATCAGTCTTATCGTAGAAGTGGAAACCTCTGCCAAAGAAAGAAATTGCTAAACAAGAAATTTATGAAGGAAGAAAGAACTGCAGATTTAAGGTGAGGGCACTTGATTCTAGTCCCAGCTGTGTTAACCAACGAGCTTTGCCCTGTGGCTGGTAACTGATAAACCCATCTATCAGAAAGTAGATCAGACTGCCAGACTAGTTGTTTTTGTTTTTGTTCTGTTTATTTTTGTGTTTTGTTGTTGTTGTTGTTGTTGTTGTTTTTGGTACCGGGAATTAAACTCAGGACCTTGCACTTGCCAGGCAGGTGCAGTGTCAGTGAACTACATCCCCAAGCCCAGTTTTTTGTTTTTTTGATTTGTTGGGTTTTGGTTTTGGTTTTTTGAGACAGGGTCTCACTTGGTAGTACAGACTGCCTTGAACACACTATGTAGCCATGGCTGTCCTCCAGCTTGAGGTGATTCTCCTGCCTCAGCCTATGCTGGGACTACAGGTGTGCGCCACCCCACAGACTAGTTGACTTTTAAGACCCAGTTCTAGCCTTCGGTGATGCTAAATTCTTCATTTCCTAATTCCCTGGCTTCAAATCTTGCTCATACTACATTTCCTCCTTTCCTGAAAGGCCACTGTGCCCATTTCCCAAGTAGTCATTGGCCCTGACCTTAGCAATGACCTTGGATCACCCAGCCTGTCTGGGTCCCCTTTGGACACTCACCTAAGAGGAGTGTGGAGATGCCTGGCTGCTTCCTGGCTGTCTCACAGGGATTATAAAGGCCAGTGCAATTTTACAAAGGCTGGATTCCTCCAAGGAAGAGCCTGCCTGGGTACAATATTTCAACTAGTCAGCTGTAATTATTGCTATAACATCCAGGAGTCATGAGGGATGAGAAGGGAAGGAGCAGGTATAAGCATTCCTTGTATTTATGGTAATGGAGTGGAAAGAGGCTTTAGAAGCCTCCAGGAGACCCACTTCCTCTACAGATAAAGACGCAGAAACCAAGAAAGCTGAAGGGGCAAACCGCAGGCCATCAGCCTGCCCTCTGGGGTGGCTGGAGCTGGAGCCTGGGTCTCCTGGCTCCCAGCGCAGCGTTTTCTCTGCAGCATCTGAATGGAGGCCAGCGAGCCAGATCTGGGCTTTCAAAGCCTGTGATGGGCTGGCCTCCGGGAACCGAGATGTATGCAAAATCTACAGTGAGCCAATGAAGAAAAATTACCCCCTATTCTGCATGGGCAGCGTATGAACACTGATGGAGCAAAAATACCCAGCAACCAGAGGAACCTGAAAAGCCCCCTCCTCCCCAGCCCGCTGACTCCAATTCCATCAGAAAACTAGGAGCAGTCTGCTTGGAGGCAGCCTGGTAGCTGTGGGTATGTGGGAGCACACAGGAACCCTGGACTACTCCCTGCCCTCGTAGGCAGCTGTAGCCCGCCTTCCTTCTTCAGGCCGGCTTCGGAATAGCACCAGGAAGGTCCGGGGCAGGGGGAGCCAGGCCGCTCTGGGCTGGAGGGAGAATGAGATCTGCTCTCTTTGCTGCTCATGTTTGTCATCATCACCTTTGATCCAGATTCCAGCTCTGTGACCACTCGTCCATCCCATCAGGACATTTATTGTAATTCCATTTATTTGTTCAACATACATTAAGTGAGCACTAATTATATATGGAGCACAAGACAGCCAGAGAGAATGTAGGATTTCAGGAGACTGTCATTTCGGAGTTTGCCTTTAAATGGTACAGAGCTTTGGTGTATGTCTAAATGTGCATTTTTCAAATCTGTTGCCCTAAAACAATTAAGAACCACCATAAACCAGGCATGGTGGTGCATGCCTGTAACTGCAGCACTCTGGGAGGCTGAGGCAGGAGGATTGAAATTTCAAGCCTAGTCTGGACAACTTGGCAACTTAGCCAAACCCTGTCTCAGAAAAAAAAAAAAGTTGAGGAAAAAAGATGCTGGAGCTGGAGCTCAGTGCATAGGCCCTGGATTCAATCCCCAGTACCACAAAAAGAGGAAGAAAAGAGCCACCATAGTGGGTGTGCACTGAACCTTGTTTCCTGCAGCCACCACCCTCGTCAGCATCCTCGTGCTGCCTGTGGAGTCGGGACTTCAGGGCCTGGCGGAGTGTGAACAGGTGGGCCGGCTCTGCCTAGAGCTCTGGCACTTTCTGCAGAACTTCAGGAAGCTGTGCACACCCCAAGCCCATGCCCCACATCCATGCCTCATGAGTTAGCATCCTCCTGCTTGGCATCCTAGAGCGGCTGTAGCTGGGGTGTCGGCAGCCCGTCCCCAGTCCCAGGCAGGGACCGACGCTGGGCCACTTCCTGGCTCTCAAAGATCTCCTATTGAGCCCTGTGGTCCCTCTGACTTTCGTACCCCTGGGGAGGTCAGGGATGAGAATTTCCCATTCATTCCTAGACTCTGGCCCTGCCCGCTGCCCTGGGCAACTTTCCAGTTGTCCCACTGTGTCGGGTGACACTGGTGCCCCTGGTGTCCCTCCCATGGAAGTGGTTTTGCAGTCCAGTACACTGATCCAGAACATCCGCAGCGGAGGGAGGGTGAGAGATCCGCTTGCCTCAAGCCCTGCTGAGTTCTGTGCTTCTCCCTGCAGAGAGAAGACACGGTTCCATGTGCAGACCTTCTCCCTCGCCAGCGTCTCCAGCCTCCCACCCCAGGACATTGCTAGCACAGGTGAAGCCGAAAGCCTGTGGGAGCGGCCATAGCTCTGCCAGCAGCACCTCAAAGCCATTCAAAACGCCCAAAGACAATCTCCTTACCTCCAGCAGCAAGCAGCACACAGTCTTTCCCGCTAAGGGATCGCGGGATAAACCATGGTGAGTGTCCGTCCTTGCCGCCTGTCCCCGTCTCGGGACCCTAAAGTGCCGATGCCAGACAGGGGAGTTTTTCTGTTCTTGAGCACTGAGCCAAGTTGTGCCTAAGAAAAGGGAAGTGGGCACTCTTCCTCGGTGACAGGGTCACCCCGTGGGCAGAAGCACTGGTGTGAATGACCAAAGCGCGCACGGGAATGGGGAGATAGGGGCCCAGCTCAGCCGCAGGCGATGGGACTCTCAAAGGCCGTGGCACCCGGGTGCGGGCCCTCGAGGCTGGCTTGTTATTGTGCCACCGGCCTTGTCCCTCAGGCCTGGAGAAGGTGGAGCAGGGACAGTGTGGGTCCGCCTCGTTCGTGTGTTTGTACGTTAAACCGTGTTCCTGTTGCTGAGGCCTAATTACACTGAACTCCATACCTGGGAAAGCTGTGTAGAGAATTGTCCATCGGGGGTTTGTCTCTGTGCGCCGGAAATCGTGATGACTTCGTGAAAGAGCTCATTGTGCCAGATCAGTGAAAGGGTCTTCTGGGACAGCGTGGAGAGGGCGGACGTGGCTGTCAGGGAGGGGTCTCTGTCCCCATGAGCCCTGGGCACGGGCTTTGTTCTCCGCAGGCTGTGGGTCTAGGACGCATCTGGCCCGGCCTGAGGGTGACACTCAGTGACCTCTGCCAGCCCGTGGCAGTGTGAGCCTCCTGGGCCCCGCTCTGCGGCCCCAGCCCCACGGCCTGGGATGGCTGCGAGTGGGCCCGAGGCTGTGTGTGCTCTGCTGTGAACTCTGGGCTCGCTGCCCCGAGCCAACCTCTGCTGGGTGGCCTTGGGCCAGTTGCGTCCCCTTGTGGTATCTTGGTTTCCTTGCGCATCAAATGGGTGACTCAGCTCTACCCCATGGGACTGTGATGAAGAAGGCGGCACCACGGCCTCTGGATCGAAGAACATACTCACAGTCAATACAGTCATTGTCGCTGTCTTGTGATGAACGCTGAGAAGTCTAGCCTGCCTATAAAATTAGGGAAGTGGCTCTTCAGATTCCAAGTGAAGAGGAAAAGGGAAAATAATAAAATAATTTATTAATGGCTGGGGATGTAGCTTACTGATAGTGCGAAACCCTGAGCTCAATTTCCAGCACTGCCAAAAACAAACAAACATGGGCTGGGGATTTAGCTCAGTGGTTTCAGCGCCTGCCTTGCAAACGCAAGGTCCTGAGTTCGATCTCCCGTACCAAAAAAAAAAAAATGCAAAAACAAACAAACGAGCCTCCAGAAATGAGGCACAAGAAATAAACTAAGGAAAGCCAGGCAAGGGCCCCAGGATGGCCATAAGATGAACACTCCGTGTGAAAGTGGCGAGGGGTCTCAAGTGGCCCACGGCACCCGGCTGTGTTCTCCAGGAGGCAAACAAACCTCCAGGGACCCTGGGGTTTGGGCAGTGCCCAGATTCGGTGCAAGAAAGAGGTGTGAAGGAGCCGAGGAGCCCAGCAGGGTCAGGGCTGAGCAGCCAGAAGGATTGCAAGGAGGAAGTGGCCCTTAGGGAAACAAAGGCCTCTGAAACCAGAGGGAGGGAAGGGGGAAGGAAGCCGAAGGTTCCATTCCAGGCCCTGCCACTGACCCTGTGCATGTCTGAACAGGACGCTCGCTTAACACTAAGTCTCAATTCCGAGCCTCGCTGTTTTGTGACCCTAAATCACAGTCCTCCCAAACATTCTGCTCGATCTTCAGGGCCCACTGCAGAGGGCGGGAGGCCCCCGGCCCAACGTAAGGGACCCTCTGCAAGTTAGCCTCAAACTCAACTGGGTCCCGCTCACCTGGCACCACTGGACTGCACCAGCAGTGCCCCCAGGTGTCCCCTGGGATCCGGGCCTACACCATCCACCTCTCCTCTACTCAGTTATTTGTCAGAGATTGAACCCGAGACCTTTGCACTGAGCTACATCCCTAAACCTATTTCTATTTTTTTTTTTTTTTCTTTTGAGGCAGTGTCTCTCTTAATGGCCCAGGCTGGGCTCAAAGTCGAAATCCTCCCTCTCCAGCCTTCCAGACTGCTGGGTTTATAGATGTACACCAGCCACCTCACCCAGCTTTAACTTAACATTTAATGAGAACCCACTATGATACTAGGTGCTGTCTCCATAACAAGCACTGGGATACGCAGGACTCGCTGATGTCGTATGTGTGGCTTTGTACGGATTATAAAAGACTTAGGTGCAGCCTGGTGCCAGGTGCAAAACTGACTAATGGTCTTCATCCCAGCCAGTCATCATACTGCAGTGCAGAACCTGAACAACTGTATGCTGCTGCCTTGGGGATACAGAGTTAAATAAGACACACACACTGTCTTGGGAAGTCTGTAAAAAGAGACATAAGCTGACACAGAGTGTAATGTGATAGGGGCCCCAATGTTGGTAGCAGGAGAAAGGCATCCAGCCCAGGTTGAGGCAGAAAGTCTTTGTCAGAAGACCCCACAGTTCAGCTAAATTTGAAGCATCAGAGTTCACAGGTCTGTTTGTGGGCTGAGAGCCTGGCTCCCACGCACGCGGCCCTGGGTCCAGTCCAGCACTACCCAGAACAAACCCAGACAAAGGACAGAGTCCATTGGATACGTCTCAGTTCTGCACCCAGCAGTCCAAGCAACTTCTGTCACACTCAGATCTCTGTAGTGAGGAGCTGGACGGAGGCAGTAAGATCTGCGTGGGACGTTGGATGTTACTTTTTTTTTCATGGTACTGGGCAGTTGAACCCAGGGACTTCACATTGAGCTCCCCCCAGCCGCTTTTTTGTTCTTAATTTTGAGACAGGGTCTTACCAAGTCGCCAAGTTGCCCAGACTGGCTTCTAACTTGAGCTCCTCCTGCCACAGCCTCCCCAAGTGCTAGGATTACAGGTGTGTGCCACCATTCCCAGGCCAGTGAACCTTTGGTCTAAAAGTGAAGATTAGCACTGTACAATGGGAATATAATGTATGCCACGTGTGAAATTTTAAATGTTCCAGCATCCACATTGAAAAAAGTGAAAAGAAACAGATGAAATTAACTTTAACAATACATTTTCTTTAATATATCTGGGATGTCAGCATTTCAGCATATAGTCAGTGAAATGGCTTACATTCTGTTTCTTCCCACACTGTCTTTGAACCGAACCCTGTGTGCGTTTCACATGGCACATCTCAATTTGCATCCTTAAACATTTTCTAATAACTGAATCAGGTACCTGTTTATTATTTTATTTTATTTTTTTGGTACCAGGGATTGAACTCAGGTCCTTGCGCTTGCAGAGCAGGCGGTGGAACCACTGAGCTAAGTCTCTGGCCCTTGTTTTTAATTTTTAATGAATTAAATAAAGCCAAGCATGGTGGCTCACTTTGAAAGGCTGAGGCAGGAGGATTGCTGCAGATTCGAGGGCAGCCTGGACTACATAGTGAGTTCAAGGCCGGCCTGGACTACTAGCCTGTCTCAAAAATAAATTAATTAATTTAATTAAATACGGTGTAGCATTTCATTCCTCACTCAGCCACCGTGGCCACAAGAGCTGAGTGAACCTCTAAACCTCACAGGCCTTGACGTGCTTCTGGGGGACCCCACGGGTCCCAGCTCCTGGACTCAGAGCTGTGATCAGAAGGCCCTTTGCTCCCGCAGAGTGGAGAGGACCCTCGTTGCTCGCTCCATTGGCCCGGCTGCTGCTGGGCCCAAGGCAGGGACAGACCTGGCAGATCCAGTCGGCCGCGTGGAGAATCCCGGCCGGCCTCCCTCCCCTGGCTCCAAACAGCCCTGATCCACCCTCGGTGGCTGGAAAGCTGCCTGGGGGTCCAGGGCCTTTGCACATGTTCGGGCAGCCTCTTCCACACAACTCAGATCCCCCCTCATAGCCATGGACACAAGGCTCCCGAGGTCGGGCAATGTCTGCCCCGTAGGCAGGTTAAAAATAACGCTTCGTGAAAAGAAAGAGGATTCATCCCCTGCAGACTACCAGCCGCACCCACAGGTTGCTCAGCCTCCCCTGCTGGGGACCACCCTTGGGAGAACCAGAGGCTGAGGAGGCTGTGACTCAGGAGGGAAGTGGGTGGGTAAGGAGATTCTGTCCTCTGGTAAAGTCAGGAGAGACTCACAGAGTCCAGTGCAGTGAGGCCTGTCCACGGTCCCAGCTCCTGGAGGGGCTGAGGCAGGAGGATCTCTTGAACCCAGGAGTTTAAAGCCAGCTTGGGCAACATAGCAAGACGGTGTCTCAAAAGGGGGGGGGGGGGGGGCGGTGTTAATGGCTGCCTGACTCTTGAGTGAGAATGAGCACTTCAGCCTTTACTTACGCGTCTGTTGGGCCAGGAACCAGGCCCAGCACAGCGGCCGAGTCAACCAGTCTGCCCACAGACTCGCAGCCTGGCCCAGCGTGATGGGGGATGGGATCCTCCGCTGTGAGCACCGTGAGCGCGGGCGCAGAGGAGGTGGAGGAGGCGTGCTCTCCGGATGGCTGTTGCCTTCACTTTGGGCCTTATCAACCCGCACATGTGTGTTGAATGCTAAATACGCTCTGCTATTAAAAATGCAGGAGTTGAGACTGGTGCCCCAGAAGGAAAAGGAGCCGAAGCCCAAGCGAAATCGGCAGGCCACGCCTCCCGGGATCCGCCCCCTGCCGCCCCACGGGATGGGAAGGGTCCCCGCCCTGAGGCCAGCTCAGCTCGGCCCGGGAAGTGTGCGGGTCCCTGAGTGAGGGCCGCTGGGAGTCCTTGACTGGAAGCCTTCCCGGCCCTCTCCGGGGAAGGAAGTGATAACCTCGGGAGAGACTGGCCGCTTTTCTCTTCCTGCCTGGTGCTGGCTTGACCAGGGGCAGGACCCGAGCTGGGGCTGGAGTCCGAGGCGACACTGGGGTCATGTGCAGGCTATGGGATGCGGGCACCCGGAAGAGCCGCAGACCCTCCGGCAGAACCAGCCGCACTGGCCACCCCAGGTCCCCACAGGGCCCACATCTCGGCCCCACCCTGGGCTGCTGCCCATGGAGCAGATGTGGCCCCGGTGCTGAGCTG